CTTTTTTTATTTCATTGCCCTTCCATAAAAAGCTCGTAAGCCAATAACGGGTTGCACTAATCGAGCTGCCATCTTTACTAATGAGTTTCCCTATATTGGTTAACCTCAGAGTCACTTGATGGAAGCGGCTCTGAGCTTCCGTTAACTTCCCCCACAGCCTTCCCACACAATCCGCGTGGGCTCCCTGGGAACGTGAGCTCAGCCAGATGGGCTGCACCAGCGCCGCCGCTCATGCTTTATTATGGACGTGTTCGCCATACAGCTGTTGTTTTTCTCCCTCAGCAAATGTGTCTGTCTCCAAACGAGAGCTCAGGGCTGGGGAGAGATTGCCGGCTGTGCCGCCTCATCCCCACAGCTCTTCCAGTTTCCTCTGAACAATGTAATCGTGGAGGCGCAGGCCTTTAGTTTGTCAGAAAACCGCCTTCCTGTCATACTTCATGTGTATGTTCTCTTTGAAATCACTAAGAGGTCGTTAAAAGGCCGTTAGATGGTTCAGTTGCAAATGTCTCTGCATTCCTGGAAAATGGCCCGCAGGCTGCGTAAGCATTCAATAACTAATGCTCGTTTTTGTATCTCATTTTTTCTTTTTGTTTGGGTTGGCTACTAGAATCATGTGATATCTGTGGATGTACATCATCTGCTCTGTTTTTGCTCTCTTTTTAATCAAATATCACAACAAAACCTTTGTTTTGGACATGAAGTATGGTAGTGCCATGCTAGTTCACTAACAAAAAGTACAAGCATTATATCATGGGTTTTTGGACATGTACTACATAAACTATTGTTCAAAAGCAAGTTCTTTTTTTTAATGTTTTGGCAGTCTCTTATGCTCACAAAAGCATTTATTTGAGTAAAAACAATAACATTGCTAATTCTTATTAAAATTTTATTACAATTTTTTTTCTATTTGAATATATTTTAAAATATAACTTATTCCTGTGATGCAAAGCTGAATTTTCAGCATCAGTCCTTTAGAAATCATTCTAATATGCTGTTTGCTGTAATAAATTGCAATTTATTATTATTAATAATTTAATGTGTCCTTGCTGAATAAAAATATCAGTTTCTTAAAAATGTATTATCTTAAATATTTAGGCAGTATATCTGTGAAGTAGTGTATTGCCACAGTTTTATTTGTGTATTATTTTTTATTTTATTTTATTTTTTAGTAGTTTTTAAAATATAGTCACTTTGATGTCTTTTAGAAAGGCTTCTTTTGTTTTCAGTATCATGGTTTGTGTTTTAATGCAGATCTTTGTGTGGTTAATCTTTTAGACTTCATTTAACAGAACTGCGTCATGATGTCTGTCTGTCTGTCTCGCATACCCGCTGGATAATGCAAATATGCTTTCAAACTCTTGTTTGCCTGCTTTGAGAATTAACCTTGTACGCGACTGACCTAAATGTGTCAGTATTTGAGAAGTAGAACTGTTTTTAGAATTCTTTAGCTGTGAAGATCAGATGTCAAAAAAGCAATTAATACAAATTTGACCTGTTTCTAACCTCTTCATGACTCTGTTACTTTCCATCTTGCAGCATTCCATCCTGAGCTCCGATTTCACTGTTTTGTGCACTGCATAGTATCCAGAACAACAAGAACAAAACATTTATTTCGTAAATGAGAAAAATGTTGGTTGAGCTCAAGTCTTTGAGGTTTGGCTTAGTTCTCTGAGAAAGTACAAATCTGTATATTTAAGCAAAAAATGGCACATTTGCTTTTTTTAATGGATTTATATAGACCGAGACGCCAGAATGTGAGTAAAATGGGGATTGTGTTGAAATCCTCTCAGTTCTTCAATGCTTTAAAGTTGTTATTACCTAATTACACTCCCTCATTAGTGTTTGTGTTCTCATTTGTATGTTACAGTGGCTTATATTGTGAAGAACAGAATGAAAAAGAAACAAAAACTTGTGATTAAAAAAATCACAAGTGATGCTTTAAGTTATAATACTGTGGTACTTTGAGGTGGACATGTGGCCCACCAATAAGGTGCTTGCTTTTTCAGTTCATGAAAGGTAGCTTTGGAAAGCAATGGTGGGTGCCATGATCACATTTTCCCCTCCAAGTGATTTGAGGACACAGACTTTGGCCTTTTATCTATTAACTCTGTATATTTTGTTCAAACTCCCAATTGCTCACTGAAGCTCTGACTGTGAATAGTTAGCAGAAAAACAACCTTGAGGATGTCCTCCTGAACAATTCTTTCAGGCCTCTCCTCATCTCGCCAACACAGATGTAGCCACTTGAACATGCTATTCTGATCGTTCACTCGAGGGGCCTGTTTTCTTCTGCTTTTGTGTCTTCCCCCTCCCCTGCTTACCCTCACACATTCACACTTTACAGCAGAAAGGAAGGAAATTGAGGTCTGGATTGCTGGAAAATATTCTCCTGTTGGTTCGCTGGCTGGAAGGTTATCGGAAGCTCTTATAAGCTGAGTTATGTTGAAAAGAGAGACGCTGTTTTTCATTTTCTCATCCTCTATTCTGTCGGTTTTTAAAATACTAGTTCAGTGGGAGCATTGCACGTTGCAGTTTGCTGTTCTGAATCACATATTGATTCACTACTGTTCAAAAGTTTGGGATCAATAAGATTTTTTTCTTTTATTCAGCATGGATGCATTAAACTGATCGAATGTTCGATTTCTATTTCAAATAAATGCCGTTCTTTTGAGCTTTCGGTTCATCAAAAAATACTGAAAAAAGTTATTGTGGTTTCCACAAAAATGTTAATTAGCACAACTGTTTTCAACACTGATAATAATAAGAAATATTTCTTGAGCAAAATTCAGCATATTAGAATGATTTCTGAAGGATCACGGGACACTGAAGACTGGAGTAATGATGCTGAAAATTCAGCTTTGCATCACAGGAATAAATTACATTTTACAATACAGTGGTGTGAAAAAGTTTTTGCCCCCTTCCTGTTTTTTTAATTGTTTGCATATTTGTCACACTTAACAGCTTTCTAAAATAATGTGGTTAATCACAGTTCTTTCATGATTTAAGTATTTTTTCTTAAAAAAAAATAGCAAATATTTTTTCACGTAGGGCCAGGTAGGTTTGGACAGTTTTTTTCCCTTAATAAATGAAATTATCATTTAAAAACTGCATTTTGTATTTACTTGCATTATCTTTGCGTAATATTAAAATTGGTTTGATGATCTGAATCTTTTAAGTGTGACAAATATGCAAAAAATAAAAAAAACAGGAAGGGGGCAAAAACCTTTTCACGGCACTGTATATTCAAACAGAAAACAGTCATTTTAAATTGTAATAATATTTCACAAATATTACAGTCTTTACTGTATATTTAACCAAATAAATGTAGCCTTGGTTAGCATAATATGCTTTTTTTCTTTTATTTTTTAAACGTACAAATATAATTATTATTACATTTTTTATGATTGAATTCTAGATTATGATATTATTAATATTAGCCTATTATTATATCTTACAATATTGCATTGATGCAATCAGATTTTTAATTCTGTTTTCCTATTATATTATCTCCTACAGTTCAGTTAATGGAAAAACTGGTCTCTTAAACCAGCATTGTAAGGTAGCTGAGATAACCACCCCTAAAGATCAATGCATTACTGTACATGATGGTATTGTTGTTAGTGACGTCATTCAGAGGTAAGAATTGAAGTACAGGTAATACACAGGTGACCACACTGAGAAATGTCAGTTTATTAAAACAGCCTGCATGTTCCTTCATTATTTGAACTGTCGCGTAATATATGAAAGGGCACATAAATAAACATGGATCTAAAGTCGAGTGAAAACGCAATATCTTGAGGAAAAGAATTGCAATACTGGTGTATGATTATATCTGTGCAGCTCTGATTGGACCTCATGATCTTTTCTTATTTGTTTCATCCTTTCTCTTCCCGACATATACACATATTGCTTGCGTCTCGTCTCAATCATCAGTGTCTTCACTATCACTCTCTCTGTTTGTCTCAAAGGACTGCAGGGGGTTGTGAACCAAAGCTGGCTATCTCAGGTAAATTAAAAACTCTGCCTGATCAATATATCTCATTATTCTATGAACATCTTTCTGCTTGGTTTCTCCTTCATTCCTCTCAGCGCCAGTTTTCTGTCTGCAGAATACAGCTTTTAGGAGCTTGACCATTATGTATTTTGAGTCACATTTTGGTGTAGTGATCTCTTTTCTTCTCTCTTTTCTTCTCTCTTTTCTTTTCTTTTCATTTCTTTCTTTCTTTCTTTCTTTCTTTCTTTCTTTCTTTCTTCCTTCCTTCCTTCCTTCCTTCCACCTGCCCCCTCAGATTTCTGAGCCAAGTGCATTTTGAATGCAGCTTCCAAAAGACAAAAATAGCCAAATTATATTTTGTATGTTTGAAGCAATATAAAATTGAGCCAGAGCTTATTAATTCAATGGCCAATCAGAGACGTTCAGATGAGTCATCGCTGAAACACGGTGTTTTGCTCTCATCAGAAACAACAAAGTGCAGATGTGCGTATGAATGTAAGCAAGATATTCATTTCACAGTGTAAACAGCTTCAGTGATTTACTATAGTCTAATTTGCCCATCACCATTGATCAAATAACATAATCTATAAAAGTGCAAACCGCATTTACTTACACATATTTGAGAATCGAGATGGCCAGATATAGGCTAGTTAACACGTTTGGAAATATTTTGAATAAAAAGAAAAAATAAATAAAACATAAGCCTATAATCAGATATACAGTGCTATCGTGGCTGCTGTGTGACACATGACAAGCATGAACCCCCCACGTGCCTCCTCAAAAATCATGAGTGCATGACGCCCCTTCTTTCCTTCCTTCTGTTTTTTTATTTTTTATTTAATACATTTAGTTTGGCCACTTTTGATTTGACAGTGGTGAAAGGACAGCAAATTATGGGAAATAAGATTCACAGGATCCAAACTTGCTTGTTTGTTTGCTTGTTCTGTGTTTTGTTTTATTTATTTTTTTATCCTTTTTGCCACTTTTTGACAGTGGTGTGAGGACAGCAAATTATGGAATATGATACTAAAAGGATCATTAATGAACATGTGGTGATGAAATTGGCAGTCTCGTTTGTAAAATGGATTGCTGTGGACTGTGAGCCAGTGATGGGTTTATGCTTAATAAAAGTGACTTAAGCCAATTTTTTGTTTATTCAATTCTCTACTTTTCTGTCGCAGTCATGTTAATACCTTTTAATGATCTTCTTTTGGACTTGTAGCTAATCAGCTACAATGTGGATGTGCCTTTAATGAATTACGATAATCGGCATATCACAAATTCATTTTAGTATTCTAATCCATTGCTATCTCTGGTGAAAATATCAAAAGCTCATTGTTCATTGGAAGGATTGCAGGTTTTCAGAAGGATTTGATTCTCTTGATGTGCGAGAGACGGCACGCCGACATTCCTCTGGATTTATACCTCTCAGAGACTGTGCTCTCGGTTAATGAGTTCCATCTTCACTGCATGCCGTGTATCTGCTCCACTCTGATAGCGCTCAATCCTGTTAGAGAAAGACAACACATGCAAATTCCAAAGGCGTCTTTTTGCAAAAGAATCGGCCTGTTTGTCTTTTCTTCCTCACCTGAGCCTGATTGATTCTTTTGTTGCCTGTCAGAAACATAGACGTTAATTATCAGGCATTGATAACACATGATAAACAAAACGGTACAAAGCTTTGTTAGGCTGTTTTGTGGTTTGTTTCCTATTTGGCTCCAGGTAGCACTTCCGCTCTCATCAGAGAGTTGTGCATAAAATGAGCGCAGCAGTGCACAGCAGACGCGTCTGTGATTTATATTACACTGATGGTGTTTTTTCAACGCAGCTTGAGCACTCGCTTCAAAACAGGAAATCTGCTGCAAATTTATTCCCCGTGGCAGAGAGTGTGGCTGTGTGAAAACAGCCTTCAACTCCAATTAAAGTTTGAGACGACTTGAGTGGCTAGGAAGAAAAGGTGTAAAAAAACTTTTAACGTTTCTCACACAGCCGCTGAAATAATTCAATCTGTTTAATCACAGCTGAAAGTAGTGCTTGGCGGTTCTCTGTTCCATTTGTGAACTGTAAGAATGCTAAATGCAGCGAATGGTGTTATTCATTAGCTTGTTTATACTGATGTTCTGAGCGAAGGACAAGACAAACGAAGTAACAAAAGAATGCTTCTCATCACTAGACAACCACATGTCTTAGTAGTAGTTTTTATGATACGTATACCCTACCTTGTCCCTTTATCTGCTTAATAACAATGCATTTCATGTTTAGTTTTTGTGAATATGTATTATTAATACACAAATATTTATGGTATTAATAATAATACATCCAATTTCTTTCTTAACTGTGCCTTTTTCAGTGGTCGTTTAAATATTTGAATGTCTGTAATGTAGTGAAATGTTCGTGCTCACTTTATTTATATATAAATCACAATACTCACTCACTATACTTATATATAAATAATTGTTTATTTAATTTGCTATAATATAAAGCTAATTTCCCACATAGCTTTGCTAGTCTTTAGAATCATTTCACATTTTCACATTCTCTTATAATAAAATTTACTTATTTAATAATTATACATTTTTTTGACAAAAACAGTAGTTTGTTTTTATCCATCCATCCATCCATCCATTCCTACATATCTTTGCTTGTCTCTAGAATCATTCCACCTTTTTCATTTCTTATAATAAATTAATTGAAACTTAAAATATTTTTTAACAAAAACCATAGTTTGTTTGTTTGTTATTTCCTACATAGCTTTGCCAGTCTCTTTTTTTCTCTTACAATAAAATAATTTAAACTTAAAACATTTTTAACAAAGACCATAGTTTTTCATTATTTTATTTTATTTTATTTTAATCTGTTATTTCATACATAGCTATGCAAGTCTCTTTTTTTCTCTTATAATAAAATAATTTAAACTTTTCTTTTTACAAAACAATAGTTTGTTTTATTCTTTATCTATTTATTTGATTTTATCTGTTATTTTTATTTGTATCTATTTGTTGTTTATTTATATCTAATTTATTTCAATCTGTTTGTTTAATTATATTTATTTGTTATTTGTATTATTTGTTTGTTTGTTTGCTTATTTATGCAAAATCAAATTTATGCAAAATCAAATTCTCATAATAAACTCATTAAAAGGATAGTTCACCCAAAAATGAAAATTCTGTCATTAATTACTCACCCTCAAGTCTCACCCTCACCCTTCGTTCGTCTTCGGAATACATATTATTTGTTTGTTTGTTTGCTTATTTATGCAAAATCAGCCAGTCATTCTCATAATAAACTCATTAAAAGGATAGTTCACCCAAAAATGAAAATTCTGTCATTAATTACTCACCCTCAAGTCTCACCCTCACCCTTCGTTCGTCTTCGGAATACAAATGTATTATTATTATGCCATTTTAGAGAATATCACAATGCATATACGCACGCTTTCCCCGAAGCGTAAACAACGCTGATTACGTTGATTATGCTCTTATACTCTCCAAAATGGCAGAAGACGTAACTCGGGGGAGAAGAATTGTTAAATAAATTGTTATTTTTGTTTTCTTTGGACTAGGGATATGCCGGTATCAAATTTTCATGTTGCGATTAATTGCTAATGCTTTTATCACGGTATACGGTATTATCACGATATTGAAATTTAGTTTTTTTAAAAAGTGCTGTCATAATACAGTATAACAGGTTTAATAACTTTTTTCTTATAACAAAAATAACTGAACATTTAAATGCAATAAAGCAATACAGAAATATAAGGGTTTACTCTTAGTTTTTTCTGTAATTTAATTACAGTTATGGGAGGGTCTGAGAGCTCTCACATTTCATCAAAAATATCTTAATTCGTGTTCCGAAGATGAATGAAGGTCTTACAGGTTTGCAACGACATGAGGGTGAGTAATTAATGACAGAATTTTCATTTTGGGGTGAACTAACCCTTTAAGGCTGATGGACTGATTCTGATCTGGCTTTATTTTGCAATAAACTGCTGCCTGTATATTATCTACTGATTCATGTAACATTTGTAACATGGACACTCATTTTTATTGTGGCTTTTGTTAAGAATCTTGTTTTAGTGTGTTGCTGTCGGCCGTCTCAGTCTCAATGTTCACTTTTCTCTAGGTAAGATGTCAGACGCCCCTGCCGTGCGCAAACAACAGCAGCTCAACAACCTGGTTGCCATGGTGACGGAGCTGGCCCGCCCTGGTCACACGGTGGTGGATTTCTGCAGCGGGGGGGGGGTAAGTTGCCTTCTGACATTTTAAAAACGTCTTGGACTTGTTTCTGTTTTCTTACGAGAGTCTGTATGTGTGTTAGTAAGCATCTGTTCTCCTCCCTTGTCACCTCGTGTAATCTTAGGGAGTGCTCTTGTTATTCTGTGCATAGATATAAGGCCTGTGAGCAACAGGTCAATATTCTGATGGGCGTCTGTGCTCTCGTCAGCAGACTTTGATCTGATGAGCTCTTTAAAGTCTGCTTCTCCAAGATCTTCTGCAGCTTTCTCTTTGTTTGTTTTCTTAGGGGCACATTGGGATTGTTTTGGCGTACACGCTTCCTAAATGTCAGGTAAGACTTTCTGATTTGTTCAAGTGTAGCAAGTTCAAGTTAAAGGAGTCAAAGAAGAGAAACTAAATCTGTCTTCCTCCCAGGTGACCTCATTTGTAGACACTGGAAAAATAAACTGATTCCACACTGTTGATGTTTTTTTCTTCTTCCCCAAAGACCTTGGGAAGCTTGTACTTTAACCAGCGCGAATAGGAAAATCAGCTCTGCATTATAATACTCTTTGAGCACTAATACACATTTGATGGTTCAGTGGATTATTATTAGGTAGTCATTTAGAAGATGTACTTCGTTTTCTCTCCTGATTTTCTTTCCTTTTGATGAAATGCCTTTTCAAAGATAAGCAGTTTGAGAATCAATGAACAATTTGGCAATGAACCAGTAAACTGTAAAAGATATTATATGTGGCATGTTGAAATATCCCCTTTTTTTGTTTTCACTCAGGTAATTCTCATTGAAAATAAAGAGGAGTCTTTGGTCAGGGCCAGAGACCGAAGCGCTCAGCTCGGATTGACAAACATCGGCTTCATCCAGACAAACCTCGACTATTTCACTGGAAACTTCAACATTGGGGTGAGCGCCACATTTTGTTGTACGTATGCATGATAACTGTCTGTGAAGAACAAGACCGAAATCAATTTAGCAAGTATGTTAAATGTATTTACAGATGTTGTTGTTTTTGTTGTTGTAATTGTGTGTGTGTGTGTGTGTGTGTGGGAATTGGTTCATAACTCATCCAGCATTTGTGCTATTGTCATGAATGATACTTTAAGTATGTGTGTAATATAATATTGACATAGTGAGATCTAAATTCTTATTTAGCAGTCTTTCATAATATAATACAGTTTTTCTTTAATAATTAGTAGGGCTGTAAAATCGATACAAATATGTGACGATTTAAATCGGTTGAGATGTTAAACGAATCGCGATGCAGTTGGGGTAGGATTTTTTTTTAGATTTGATTAGTTTTTAATTTAGATTAAAAACTGCTCATGCTGCATGCTTGGATCATAATTAAAATGCAGTGGTTGCCTCTAATTTTAAATGGAAAGAGCACAGGCAAAGCCTTAATTTGTTTATATGAAAAGATTTGATTTAAGGTTTGTTTTAAAATTTCAATTTAGTTATGTTATTCGACATATTTTAATTTCTCAAAGAAATGTGCCGCATTTTGTCCACGCAATAATAAAAGGACACCTTTTTCATTTATAATTTGTCTTAAATTTCATTTTGTTGAAAAAAATCGCGAGAAAATTGTATCGCATCGTGAGTTGAGTGAATCATAACATCGTGCAAAAATTATAGCAATCATTTTCATTTTGAACATGCAGGTTAAATATTTCATAGTGTTTCTTTGTTACATTTTTCAAAATCTTTGTTTAATTGTTTATTTCCACTTTTACATTATATTTTGAATTTATTTTCAGTGTGATCTCAGACATGTGGACCCCACTTATAGCCTTTCATAGATAATTGCTTTGTTAATGTTTGCTTACAGCATTTGTTCTTGCTACATGCAGTTTCAATAATTTCACATGAAGAACATACATTTTTGCCAGAAGGTATAGGTATCCCTTCATTTGCATTGTAAAGCCTGTTTAAAAGGATGGATTCTGGCACTCCGTCATTGCAGCATGTTTGATTCTACCTGCCATCCATATTAATTATGCAGTTAACCCTCACGTTTGTCCTTCATTCTGCTTCAAAAGTGAGTGGGTTTCTCATTTCTGCGTTTTGAGTGATGAAATTGACTCATCGACATTTCCAAACAGACTGCATTCAGTTTTTCCATAGTTTTTCATTTGCTGAAGTGTTGTAACCACAAACATATTAGAAATGAGACCAGAAGTTTCTATTACAGAAGTCTAGTTGGATTATACCAGTGTTAAGCAGTCTCTGACTTTAAGACAGAAATATATTTGCTTTTTATAAAACATTAATACTGAATTATTTATTTTTCGTACAGCACTGGTAAATAGTTTTGGCTTGTTTCTAACAGAAATCTCAAAATTTTCTTACAGTTTGCCCATGTGGTTAAAAAAATAAACATAACGCAAGGTATTTTATCTGAAAACAGTTTTCAGATAAAAATACTGATTAATAAACTGTTTTTTTTTTTTTGCGGTGTAATCTTTGAGGGACACCGTTGTGTCTGTAATAAATGAGGAAGTATGTGCTTGCTGCAGTTCTTGTGTTTGTTTCTGGCAGTAATGAGATGTTTGGGCCTGCAGCCCTGGCCTCATCTCCACAGAGAGCTGCGGCTGCAGTATTGAGCTTCACATGCGGCCGGGGTTAGGGGATTATCAGCTACCCACACAAAGGGGCTTTATCAAACCTTCACTGTTTCCCAAAACTAATACCTGTATCTCTGTGTAGAGCTTCTTTTGTACAATCGTAAAAAATAAGAACGTGCAAGATTAATATCGAACAGTCACCTAAAAAATTTGTCAAATTTACCATCCTAGGTTTATTTAGTTTTTTTTTCCATGTGGAGATGAAATATTCCTTGACTTCCATCAGCGATAGCTGACTCTTTTAGCGCCTGTGCAAGCGATAGGACATTTTGTTGATTGCATTAAGTTGTGTTCATTTTTGGGTGAACTATCCCTTTAAACTATACTATATTTGCTTGTTGTTTATCTCGTTCATGGAAAACCTGAAAATATCAGGGACATTTTAACATTGTGGTTTACAGGCATGAAAATGAACAACACAGTGAAACAAATTTTTTATAAAAGTTTTGTTATGCTTCTTTATGAAGTTTGACATGCTGAATACGAAAGTCACTTTTTGTGATTACTTTGATACATTACTAATTGTTTCAATTAATGATACATTACTTTTTGTGTATCATTAACAGTGTTCATGAAAACAAAAAATGCTAACAAATTATACAAGCTAATATGTTATTACTCATCATGCATAAAAATTGCACGGTACATGCATAATACTAAGGTAACATCAGTTTAACATAAAGAGTTACCAAAAGTGAGTGACCAAAACTTCAAAAGTGTATGTTGGATGAATTTTTGCCTTTTATGACTAGTCTCACAATGTTCTGAAATGTTCCAGAAAGCACTAGAATATTACAGAATGTTACAGAAACTTCTAGAATGTTCCATCCTTGCAAAAGCAATATATCTTTTTTTTTTAAAATGCAAAATTAGTACAAAAACGTATCTGTATTAAACCAATGTTTCATAATTAATGATAGAAGTTTTCAAATTTACCTGACCTAAATGTTTACTAATATATTGAAATTGAAAATAATGTTATTGAACTAGTTTACAAATCAGCCTAAATTTAAATTATTCATTGATGAATGAATTTGCATGATTTTGAATGATTTTACTAAAACTTCTATGATTACAAGAGACCAGAAGCATCACAGAAAAGTCTTCAGATTTTAAAGAAAGAGGTATCGAATTAGTATTTTACCTCGTCTTTGAGCAGGGGTGCCCAAACTCGGTCCTTGAGGGCCGGTGTCCTGCAGAGTTTAGCTCCAACTTGCCTCAACACACCTGCTGGTAAGTTTCTAGTATGCCTATAAGAGCTTGATTAGCTGCTTCAGGGGTGTTTAATTGGGGTTGGAGCTAATTAAACTCTGCAGGACACCGGCCCTCCAGGACCGAGTTTGGGCACCCCTGTCTTTGAGTTTCTAAACTTTTGTATTATCTTGCATCCCTCACATTTCATTAGCATAAATGATTAAAAGGCTTTGCTTGCTAAAGCAGCACAGCCAGAACTGTGTGTAAACGGATACATATTGTTTCCCAGAGGGTTAGATATATGTGAAAAAAATCTACTATCCTTTTTTAAGACCGTCTGTAATAAAGCTTGTAGCTACACCAGGAAAAAAATGACTAAACGTGGGTAATGATGTGAAAAGAGAAGTTATGGGTTGTTTGTTCAAACTTGATTTGTTGTACCTGTTGAATGATGGTGAAACAAGCGCACTGCTGTGTTCTGTGGCTGTGAATAATGAACTTGCATCGTAGTCGTGAAGCTGTGCCTTCCACACCTCGGGCAAACTACTTAATTATAAAGACAGAAAAGTTTTTTACCCCCATTGAAGGGAAGAAAAAGAAATATCATCAGCAAAAATGAAATCCTGCTTAAGAAAAAAAACTAATAAAGAAATATGCTTTTGCAGCATGCTTTATTATTTTGCCATCCAATGCTGAATAATTTATACGAGGAAAAACTAGCATTGAGGTTGACGTTAAGCTCTTTGTCAATGTCTTATATTTCCAATGCTTTCAGAAAACCTTCATTTATTTAGTTTGTTGAATCCTTCAGTAAAAGAGACCACACAAAATTGATGCGAATTCCACTTGATTTGCTTGCAAAGGAAAAACAAACTTGAGCTTTGTAACACTGCTTCTTTCCCATGCTAAACAACATTCATCTGATCTCTTGGGAGACGGCCCACCAGCTTTGTCTCATTATGACTGTAAATTCGTTCTAGAGACGGAGCATCCGACATTCCGATGAAAGACTTGGAATGACTGTGATGTGTTTTTCAACCTCTTTGCGTTTGTAAAAAGAAATAGATTCTGGCCTAATCGCTATACCAAAGAATGCCAAGAGTGATTTCATCATGTTAAGCTCAAGTGTGATTGCTTTACATCCATACCAAGAGTGAACATTCACCCACAAATATTAATAAACTATTTTAAGGTGAAACAGTTCTTTTCTATCGACTTGTTCTCACTAAAAATTTGAATTATTTATTTTGGATTATTTATTTATTTATATTTCAATCATGACAACTCTCGGAAGATTTAACATGGTGATGGATATGACATTGTTAATGTATTTGGTCTTGGCGGGATAGATCTGCTGCTGAATTGCTGCTGCTGTTGGTTATTGCTGTAGTTGTAGATTATTGCTGCTGCTGCAAGCAAGTACAGGAACTTGCTACTGCCAATGCATATGGTGATACGGTGCTGTGAGTATTTAAGACATACTGCTGCTTAGGGCTGGGTATCGATTCAGATGTCCCGATTCGATTCGATTTCGATTCGCAAGCTCTCGATTCGATTCGATTCGATTCGATTCTCGATTTTTTTTGGGGGGGGATTACATTCAGTGAATATAGTTTTAATACAAATGCTATTGATATTTCTAAAAAATGAACGGTAAACATCAGTTTACAAATGGTGAATTAATAAAAAGAAATTAAGAACCACATGCCTGTATTTTAAACCTATTCTTTTATACTGCTGCTGCACAAATAGCATATAAAATAACCCATAGCAGATCTATACAGGTGGAGCTGAGGAAGGTGGAGGGTTTCAGAGAAACTCTGAAAGCGCGCTGCAGGAATCGCTAGTGGATGCTAGCCATCCATATAAATGCAAGGCAGTAAGCTCATTGGCTGCATATGCAGCATGAACCAATCAGCTTGTGCCAAGTCGTTTAACTCTCTGAATATCATCAGTTTAACAACCTGTCAGCCTGCGCCATCTAGAGTTTCATGACTGAACTATATATTTATTTTTTATTTATTTTTTTTATTATATATTAATTTATGCTTTTGTTTTTAATATGCTTTGGTTTCTGTTTTACTTTTTTATTGTTTGTTTTTATGGTTTTGCTTATGGTTTTTTTTACCTTTGTTTTGATATGAGAACAGTTGGTTTTGTGCACAAGAAACATAAAAGCCAACAGTAATCACGCAGATCAAAAAGACTATGTGTTTTAGATATATTTATACTTTACCTACCTAGTTGCATTTAATTGCAGAACTCTACTGTTACCATAAGTACACTCTGTTATTGTCATTATATCTTGTAATCCTTGGTTACACTTTATTTTAAGGTGTCCTTGTTACGGTGTAATTATATATTTAAGTACTGAGTAATATTAATTACCGTATTGGCCCGAATATAAGACGACCCTGATTATAAGACGACCCCCCTTTTTCCAGATGTACCTTTTGGAAAAAGGCTTTTTAAAAACCAAATCTTGTTTTAATAGTAATTATAATAGTAAGTGCATGTAACAAGGACATCTTAAAATAAAGTGTTACCTCATCCTATATAATGCTATCGCTCTATAGCTACATAAAAGTAAAGTATTTGATAAAATTTTGTATCTTGTATTTTCCAATTGTGCTGTATCTAGCATTTAGGCATCTGCCAGAATAATTTTTCATTTTGCCTTTGGTGTGAATAGTTTTGTCTGTGCTTTGCTATATTTCTTCTTTCATATTGCGATGTACCTGAAGTCGTACAGTAGTTGTGCATCGATTTACTCTTTAAAGTTTCTCGTCCCTAATTGTCAGAATTCCTGTGATTTTTCATCAGTAAATGGTCATTCAAAGTTGTACTTTCACAAAACATCTTCTGAAAGTGTCTCTCAGCGTCCTTAAGTAACGCTATCTGTAGTATTGTCGTCTTGTTGCATCATTGTTAACCTTAGAAATTCACCTGCCGACGTCTTCAAAGCTCCAGGTTTTCACGCTCGATTTTGCATGTTGTGGTGATGCAGCGCTCTGTTGTTGGCTTCAGACGTGAATGGATGGCCCCATTATAAGATGGTGGTCTACTTCAAAGAGCCGAAACCCTCCGTTAATGGATTCTGATTAGTACATAAAGGTGGCCCTTGAATACTCAAACACCTGCCCAGGGTTTTTGAGAATGGCTTTACTCCAGATCCTGTTAAAAAGACATTATGAATCATTTCGGTCAATTAGCGTCTCGAGAACTTAATTACAATCCACACTGGACGCTTTGCCAATATTGCTTTTTCCTAATTTATTCCGTCTCGGCTTATAAAATGTCAGCTAAGGCTGTGTGTTTTCCCACACAGAGTTCACAGACATATTTTCTCTTCTATGGCAACTCCAAGCGGCGTGTAGAGCGAATCGTCTGTGATTTGGCCACATTTCCCGGAAAACTTCTTATGGGGCATTTGAAGGGTGTTAATCCGTGGATTTGGTCGGCTGTGCGCACACACGCTCACTGAGACAACAGTTTGCATTATTTGTTCCAGTTTCTCACCCTAACGGTGACGGATACAGGCACTGGTCCGTGAGCCAAGCCGAACGCTTGATCTTCACTTGAGCTTCTGTGAGGACATCTAAGACTTTTCTTTACCCTCCATCAAACTGTTCGATCCACTTTTCCTGCTAATAGGCAGAGAGATGTCTGCTGTCATGTGGTGTCACAGCGGCGGGGTATGACTGCTGAGCCACTAACAGATCAATGAGAACACGGCTAGATACAGAAAGGTGGGAAGAGCTTTGAGATGATGTGTGGACATGTGGTCAAGGACAGGCGGAAAGCAGCGGAAAGAGTTTAATCTGGTTTTTAGTTGTCATGCATTGATTTTTTACGCCACCCTGAGCACTGGAAAATAGTCTAATACACACATTTATAATGATACAACTCATTTTATTTTGCTTTTATGTGTACAACAACCTGGTTCAAATGGCAAGTTTGTGGTAATGTGATCTTTGAATCTTTCATGCCGGCTTCATATGTTTTAATCAAATACTTCTGTATCATTTTCTCAGTTTTTTTTAATTTAATGACTTCAAAAATGTGAAGTTGTGTAACTGTCAAGTAATCAAATGTTTTCCATACATCTTTTGGTAATACTTTAGTATAGGGACCAGTTCTCACTATTAAGTAGTTGCTTATTAGCACGCCTATTATTAACATATTGGCTGTTTATTAGTAAAGCACACATTCTGCATGACCATATTCTACATCCTTAATCCTACCCAATACTTAAACTTAACAACTACCATACTAACTATTAATAAGCAACAAATTAGGAGATCATTGAGGCAAAAGTCGTAGTTAATGGTTTGTTAATGGTGAGAATTGGTGAGAAAATAAAGTGTGATCCACCTTTTTCTCAACTATTTCATGCTTTTAATGTGACCTGTAATCCTTCCCATTTCAGTTATACCTTGACATATATATATATTTTTTTAATTAACCCCTATAACCCCTATAAAGCTGTGCGAAGTCCCTTCATGCTTCAAACGCTCCACCATCATCCCCATCCCAAAGAAATCCAAAATTACAGGACTTAATGACTACAGGCCTGTGGCTCTAACGTCTGTGGTCATGAAGTCTTTTGAAAAACTGGTGCTGGCCCACCTGAAGGACATCACTGGACCCTTGCTGGATCCTCTGCTGGGAACAGGTCTGTGGACGATGCAGTTAACATGGGACTGCATTATGTTCTGCAACATCTAGACAGACAAGGGACTTATGTGAGGATCCTGTTCATGGACTTCAGCTCGGCCTTTAACACCATCATCCAAAACCTCCTCCTGCCCAAACTAACTCAGCTCTCCGTGCCACCCTCCGTCCGTCAGTGGATCAACAGCTTCCTGACAGACAGGCAGCAGCTAGTGAGGCTGGGAAAACTCACATCCAACACCCGCACCATCAGCACTGGAGCTCCTCAGGGCTGCGTCCTCTCCCCACTGCTCTTCTCCCTGTACACCAACGACTGCACCTCTAAAGACCCCTCTGTCAAGCTCCTGAAGTTTGCAGACGACACCACACTCATCAGCCTCATTCAGGACGGTGACGAGTCTGCTTACAGACAGGAGGTCGAGCAGCTGGCTGTCTGGTGCAGTCTCAACAACCTGGAGCTCAACACGCTCAAAACTGTGGAGATGACCGTGGACTTCAGGAGAAACCCCCCTGCACTCCCCCCACTCACCATCATGGACAGCACTGTGACTGCAGTGGAGTCATTCAGGTTCCTGGGCACCACAATCTCTCAGGACCTGAAGTGGGACACTCACATAGACTCCATTGTTAAAAAGGCCCAGCAGAGGTTGTACTTCCTTCGCCAGCTGAGGAAGTTCAACCTGTCACAGGAGCTGCTGAAACAGTTCTACTCCGCCATCATTGAATCCATCCTCTGCACTTCAATAACTGTCTGGTTCAGCTCAGCTACCAAATCTGACCTCAGAAGACTACAGAGGGTAGTCCGGACTGCTGAGCGAATCATTGATACAACCCTCCCTTCTCTCCAAGAACTGTACTCATCCAGAGTGAGCAAAAGGGCTGGCAAAATCACTCTGGACCCCTCACATCCAGCACACTCCCTCTTTGAACTGTTGCCATCTGGTCGACGCTACAGAGCACTGAGCACCAGAACGGCCAGACACAGGAACAGTTTCTTCCCTCAGGCAATATTTTAATTTTTTATTATCTGTGTTTTTTTGTTCTGTCACTGTCATTCTGTTACACTGTGGAAGCTTCTGTCACGGAAACAAATTCCTCGTATGTGTAAACATACCTGGCAATAAAGCTCATTCTGGTTCTCATTCTGATTCTGAAAAAGTATCTGAAAATTAATTTAATTTAATTACAAAAATGAAAAATTGTCATGTATTCAAGTCATTGTCTGCATTATTAATGCATTTTTTAGTAAATTAATTTGATTCAATTCAAGTTGATTTCATAACAGTTCAAAAGTTTGGGTCAGAAAGATTTTTTTTTTGAAGAAATTAATACTTTTATTCACCATGGATGCATTAAATTGATCAAAAGCGACAGTTAAGACATTTATAATGTTACAAAAGATTTCTGTTTCAAATAAATGCTGTTCTTTTGAACTTTCTATTCATCAGAAAATGATGGAAAAAAAATTTATCACAGTTTCCACAAAAATATTAGGTAACAACAGTTTTCTACTGTTTTCTTCAGCTGTTCTGAGCACAAAATCAGCATATTAAATGATTTCTGAAGAAACATGTGACACTGAAAGCTCGAGTTATGATGCTGAAAATTCAGCTTTGTCATCACAGGGATAACTTTAATTTTAGAATATACAGTTAGAAGAAATGGTTATTTTAAAATTGTAAGGTATTTTTGTTTTACTATATTTTTGATCAAATAAAAGCCTTGGTGAGCATAAGAGACTTCTTTGAAAAACCTTTGAAAAATCTTCCCGGAAAAATGACACTCTTTTATCCATAAGCGACACATTATTTTCTTGCTCAATGGTGGTAGGTTGCTCACTAGCTTTTGGTTAAGAGCCAGCGTGACTGGTGTCTTGTGTCTATTTCAGGTGGCCCTGCATGCGTGCGGAGTGGCGACAGACATGGTGTTGGATCGCTGCCTCCAGGCGCGGGCGGGATTTGTGATTAGTCCGTGCTGCTATGGGTTCATTCAAAACACACTCAAGTTCAACTTTCCCAAGAGGTGAAAACTGCGTCTCTGTCTCTCTGACTTTTCTTGCTTGCTATCTTTCTTTTCATATGTTCGCCTAATTCCACAGTACACAATGACGGTGTAGATCTATAAAAATCCACAGAATTAAATGCTAAGCTCTGCATACTCAGGAAAAAATACTGACAAGAATGAGGACGATCAAAAATAGATAACCATAATAAACATTCATTTTTGCGTTTATTTCTGTCTTATACTTCACATCATCGTTCTCAGAATTGAATGTCCTGTATCAACAATCACACAGCTGAGCCTCGTTTAATGTTGGCAAGAACATGTAAAAATGAGGTAAAACGGAGAGTGAGTGTTTTAAAGTTTCCTAACCGTGAGAATCGCTTTCGAACAGTCGTCAGTTTTTCCCCAATCGCAAGCTATCGCTCTCCAAATCTGGCGTAAACTTTCATTCAATCTCAGGCAGGAATTTTGCCACGGGGCATGAGCATCAGGGTGGCAAGAGCAGCGAGGAAATTATTTTTCCGTGGTTATGTTCACGGTGTTGCCATGACAGTGATTTGTCATTTGTGGCATTCGACAGCAGGCCAGAAAGGGCGACCTGATGACAGACAGTTAATGTAGCAAACATATTACCTACCACACACATAATCTCCAAGAGCTTCAGAGCTCTTCTTTATCATGCAAGTGTTACATGAGACATCCTGCTGTGTTTACACGCGGCTTATTTCTGGAACCGAACCGAAACATGTGCTTTTGTCTGTAGAGAATGTTTTCAGCGTCTCCTTTGATCCGGATAGACTGTCCTCTCCTTAAACTTGTTCTTTCTTTAACGCGTCATGTCATTTTTCATTCGCGCCTCAGTGTGTGTGTGTGTGTGTGAGTTCATTAAGTCTGCCCCCCTCCGTCTCTCTCCACAGCGCGAGGTTTACAGAGACTTTGAGCTGTAAGGTAAGTGTTTCAGCCCTCGCTTTCACTCTTTTCATTATCGCCTACACGTGTAGGACGTCACACTGCCTGGGTCCTGAGTGCGAGACTCTTCTAGGAAAACTCCACAGGAGAGCCTCATAATATGCCTCATGTATGTGAAGAGCAGTGTTTAGTCATGTTCAGCTCATGACTGACAAAGAGGTACTGACACTATAACTGGAATGAGTCTTGTTAGCCTGATACTAGAAGCAGATATTCATGCCTTGTTTTTCCAACTTAGACTGCTCTTGAGATCTGGTATAGAAAATAAAGTACTAAATGCTAATACATTATATGTCAATTGTTAATTTAGTATTATTTATATACTATTATAGTGTTTATTAAATATGTTGAATTAGTTTTTTGTTTTTTTTCAGTTTTCATTTTAATTTTAGTTTTAGAAGTTTTGTTTAATGCATTTGTCATTTTTATTAATTTGCATTATTTTTTAAAATTTATATTTCTGTTTTGGTTACTTTTGTACTTATGCTTAATTTTTTCAGTTTTTTTTTTTTTTTTTTTACATTTATTTCAGTTAATTGCCAGGGAAGCATTAATCATTTTATGTTTAATTTTTTTCCAACTTTTTAAAAAAATGCCTGTATTCATTTGAAATATACTTTTTACTTAGTGTTAAAAAGGGTTAGGGAAACAAAAACTTTTTTTTTTTTAATAATCAGAACCACTGTTTTCATGATGTTCTTTTAATAGTTCTTGACCATGGATAGAAAGCTTGTAAAAAAAAAAAGTTATTTGTTTCTTTTGTGTGTGTGTGTGTTATAGAAATTAGGAATAGTGAATCTGCAGTCTGCATTACATTTTAGATGAAAAATTACTATAGTATGTTAAATACTATAAATAAAATACTATGTAATGCTATAAATAAAATGCTTAGACAATAAACTGACAACAAATACAGTGCCACTGTTGTAAAGAGTCATGAATGAATAACTCTTTTGAGCAGATTCTTTTTAAGTCATAAATTAGTCAGTCACAAATCAAATGTACCAAAAAAAAATTCATTATTCAATAATTGATTCTGGATATGTTCAATTCTTTATGATTCACTGTTCTAATACCTTTTTATTCTATTATTTTATTTAATTTATTTTTTTGTTTTGTTTAAAATATTGACCAGTGTTTATTGGTGTAAAAATTAGGTAACACTTTAGTTTAGAGAACACACATTCACTATTAAGATTTTCCCTCAATAAACTCCTAATTTGCTGCTTCATAGTAAGTAAGGTAGTTGTTGTAGTAGATATGTTTAGGTATTGGGTAGGTTTCAGGGATCTAAAATATGGTCATGCAGAATAAGTCATTAGTATGTGTTTTATAAGTACACTTAAACAGCCAATATGCTAGTAATTTGCATGCTAATAAGCAGCTGGTTAATAGATAAGTGAATAGTGTTTTCTAATCTAAATTGTTACCAAAAATGATCATTTCAACCAAAATTTATAAGGACAAAACAGAAGCATAGATGAATCTCCTTCAGCTCTTTGCTCTAAGAAGCAGCTTTGTGAAAAAATTACTGTACACAAACATGCCACAGATTCTGAGGAGCAGAAAACATCTGTCCATAAGCCGATGTTTTTCCTTCTCTTCATTGTTGATTTTCTCAAGCTCTGCTGAAATAGGGTTTTCCTGGGAATAGAGTGCCCATGTACTGTAGTTGCATGTTGTATTTTTCCCAGTCTTATCTCCAGGCGCTGACGGTACAGTGAGGCAGAAGTGTGAGTAATGGATGAGGTTAATCAGTCGTATCTCACAGTCATCCGTGTTCGCTTGACTCCTGCATCTGCCTCTCTCCCACTGCGCTCACGGCCCCTGCAGAGATATCACCTACATAGGGGCCTACATGAGGCAGGCAGTTCCCTGAGCGTAGATCTAGAGCAAACAGTCATTTAATTAGTAGTGTTTGCCAAAACAAATAGAGGAGAAACAATAATGTACAGTATGTGGAAAATAATGTGTTTTTTGAACTTTAAACCACATAAACACATTTCATTACACCAAATACACAAAATAATGTTCTTTTTAGCAGCATCATATGACCCCTTTAACACCCTACCAGCTTTGGCACAGGAAAATATCACTCAAAATTTGATCTACACACAGTTTAGATACAAATACTTTTCTTTCTGGTTTGTTAAAGTTGACTGGGTTATTTAAAGTCACAGTGCACTAAATGCATTGATAAAATGATTTCAATGCATTGAAATTCCCCACAGAAAAAAAAAATCTATTTTAATTGTTCGGACTTGATTTGAGTTTGATTTGTTCAAAATGAAATTTAAAAAGAGAGATTTTCTGTGCTTCTTTCCAAGCTAGCATAATCGACGCAGTGTTTCCCATCGGTACGAATACTAAAAATGCTCTAGAAACACTTTACTGAGCTAAAGCCTGTTTTTGAGACATTATTCTGAGTTATAGCATTGATCGCAGCTATTAGCCTAGAGGATTAAACTTGATAGGAGGAATCAATCTGCCAGAGCTGTTACGTTCCTTTCCATCAGCACTTGTTTCACTCAGTTAATGCAGAATAATGGTTGCTTGAAGCCATCGTTGGTCATCAACAGCAGAGGAAGTCATTTTGCGGCACTTCCTTGCGACCTTCCTTGCAAAAAATGCAATTAGAGTATATTGATTAATATAAAATGAACTGGGTGCTGCTTTCCTCAGTGTTTCCCTTTAATGGCTGGTTGTAAGGGTTGATAAATGGTCTGTTCTCTCACCACAACCCTAACGATCTGATGCATCGATGTTTCTCTGCAATTTACGCTAGCTGAAACACATGCTTTTTTTCAGATATTTTTGTGCATGTACATTTAGATGCAAGTGTGTTTATTGATGTGTCTGCATGTGTTTGGTATGTTAACGTGTTATATGGTTTCCACAGGAGCATATGATCCTGTGCAGGTTCGCAGACCAGACGGCTGTCAGTTTACCCCCAGAACGACGATTAATCGGTAAGATGTTTTTTTTTTTTTAACAGGTGGTTAGGGTTGTTGTTTTGTTTTAGGAGAGGAAATTCCTAATAGAAATCGTTCATCTGGCTAAAGTTTTTAGGGCAGAATAAACTGCAGTGTTGAAGAGACTTTATGACATGATCAAAAGTCTGGCTGTGTGAGACTATTATCATTAGCTAAAATGAAAACTATATATATATATATATATATATAGGGCAGAATAAACATATATATATATATAGGGCAGAATAAACTGTGTGTGTGTGTGTGTATTAGTGCTGTCAAAAGATTAATCATGATTAATCTAATCCAAAATAAAAGTTTTTGTTTACATAATATATGTGTGTGTGTACTGTGTATATTTATTATGTATATATAAATACACACACATGCATGTATATATTTCAGAAAAATATGCTATGTTTATATATTAAATATATTTATATATAATATAAATTGTATGAAGTAAATACTTGTACATACTTTCAAAATATATACTGTATGTATAAAACAAAAACAGACATTCCAACACGGAACACACATTTCAAAGTAGAATATATGGTTGTAGCATTGTTTTTCAGGGGTATTTACAATGTCTCCTAAATATGCGCAAACATATTAATATATTTTTAAGCTTTACTACAGTCAAAAAAATTACATACAGCACCTTTAAAATGAAAATTGAAAATTGAAAGTATTAATAAAACCTAAAATCAGTAATACTAAAATAACACTGCTCAGTATTGCTTTTGTTGGACCAAAGATAATGGTTCAGTGTACACATTTGACACAAAATACTAGTTGATAAATGGCAGCATGGTTAATTGTTTGCACTTCCATTAGACAGTTAAAAACCTTTGTAGATGTTTCTCTGGACCAAAAGCACTTGATAGGTTACCAATAAACCCTTATGAAGCATTTCAGTTTAGCATAAATGGTAAATCTCTAACAATGTATAAAACACTGTAGCAAGATCAGACGCATCTTCCCGCTCTGTGACCTCCCTCTCCGTCAAATTTCTCAGCACACATTCAGCCTCACAGTCTCATCGCACTCTCACATAAATCTGATGCCACTGTCATCTTTCCTTCCACTTTCCATCCTTTATAGCTGGCGAGATGACAGTCTCTCAGCCTCTTCACAAAACACATGTTAACCAGCGCCGATGTCTCTGCCGTGCCAGTCAAAGCCGAGACTTTCCAAAAGCTTTCAAAGGCAGATATCTTTGCGTTTAGATGAGCTGTTGATTACAGTTTGATAAGATGATAAAGTTTGTTTTAAAGTCTTTAGTGTGTTTTCTTAAAGTTTTACTGTTTTATCCCTGAGATAACAGTCTCTTTAAAGAAATGTCTGTTATTAAAGTCATTTGAAATTCCACTTTTGAAAAAGTTTCAAAATTAATTTATTAAATGTGAAAGATCTTTCTTTTCATCAAATAATCCTGAAAAAAAACATATCATGGTTTCTATAAAATTAAGAAGCACAACTGTTTTTAACATTGATAATGATAAGTAATGTTTCCTGAGCATCAAATCAGCATATTAGAATGATTTCTGAAGGATCATGTGACACTGAAGACTGGAGTAATGATGCTAAAAATTCAGTTTTGCATCATAGGAATAAACTACCTTTTCAAATAAATATATAAAATAGAAAAAAAAAAAGTTATTTTAAATTGTAATAATATATCACAGTATTACTTCTTACTGCAATTTTGATCAAATAAAGGCAGCCTTGGTAAACATTTGAAATTCTTTCAAAAAAATAAAAAATATTACCAACCAAGATTTTGCGAACTCATGCAACCCCTTTTGCACTACATGTGCAAGGATACCAGAAATAGCTTGTTCATCCACCTTGAAGAATAGAACTTTAAGGACAATTTGGACAACTTTTACAGCTCATTTAACACACATTTGTGCTAATTGCTTAATATAAGCAATTTATTAAAAATGTGAGCTACACATTTATGCTTTTGAACTCTTTAGAGTGTCTTGCCCTATAGACTCTCATTGTGTTTTTTTGCGGATTCAAGGTTAAAATGTTTGTGGTAAAACCAGAGCATTAATTTAAGTGTGAAATTTATTTAATTGACTGATAATAGATCTAAAAAATAGTTAAAAACACATTTAGGTTTGAGTAAAATTTCGCTTTTTCTTGACCATAATTAACAGTGCAATACCTGAGTAATGTCCTCAGCATAGATTTCCTGGCCTGTGCTCAATAAAGATAATGTTTCATAATTATTCTCATTTCCAAACCTTTTCTCCCTTAATCACCAGGGAAGCACTGTATGGGACTGGTGGACTTGGACCGCAGTTGGGCCGCCGAGACTCATGGGTATTCTGTGAGGGTGATGACCATGGTCCCCGAGGGCTGCTCGCCTAAGAACAATATGCTGGTGGGGATACCGACAAGATAACACTGACTCACGAGAAATACCCATGTCATGTCAGGACTACAAATACCTCCATGCTTTTCATTCATGTTACTACTTGAGTGTTTACCTTGGACAATTTATATTTGTATGTATTTCATTTAAAGGGATAGTTCACCCAAATATTAAAATGTGGCATCATTCTGACCTCATTTATTTATTAATTTTTATTTTTCTGTGAGAAGATTTTAGCCACTGTTTTCAATACAGCAAAAGAGTATGTTGATTTGAACTAACAAAAAATTGCATCCTACAGAAACGGATATTAATTGAAGACGGTGCTTTTTGTACCTTTGGGAGTTTAGCTGTTTAAATCACCATCCACTTTTCTTTAATGCAGAATCTTTTATGTTTGACAGAAGAAAGTAAGTAATGCTAATACTGAATGACATTGGTATGATGACAAGATTTTAATAATTGGTTGAACTTTTAAATAGTTTTCCTCAAATTGTTAAATTTGATCCAAAAGCATGGATCGCTATGATGCATGTGCACATACATACACACTTGAATCATGGTTTGATCTAATTGTGCAATCAGAATATGTGACCCTGGAGCACAAAACCAGTCATAAGTCGCTGGGGTATATTTGTAGCAATAGCCAAAAATGCATTGTATGGGTCAAAATTATAAATTTTCTTTTATGCCAAAAATCATTAGGATATTACGTAAAGATCATGTTCCATGAAGATATTTTGTAAATTTCCTACTGGGGTATATTTGTAGCATTAGCCAAAAATACATTGTATGGGTCAAATTTATAGCTTTTTCTTTTATGCCAAAAATCATTAGAATATTAAGTAAAGATCATGTTCCATGAAGATATTTAGTAAATTTCCTACCTTAAATATATCAAAACGTACTTTTTGATTAGTAATATGCATTGCTAAGAACTTCATTTGGACAACTTTAAAGGCAATTTTCTCAATATTTAGATTTTTTGCACCCTCAGATTTCAGATTTTCAGATAGTTGTATCTCGGCCAAATATTGTCTTATCCTAACAAACCATACATCAATGGAAAGCTTATTTATTCAGCTTTCATATGATGTATAAATCTCAATTTCGAAAAATTGACCCTTATGACTGGTTTTGTGGTCCAGGGTCACATATTTGTTTTTTATTTCAGAAGGCTTTTAATCTTGACTTCATCTAAACAATTAGTGATTTTTATTTCAGCAATGTCTTACAGATCAGTACTTTCCTGCTTGATTCGCATGCCCGGGGTTTGTTTGTAAATAAAAAATTAAAAAAAAGACAAAAAGCAGCACGCCTCTCAATAAATTAAACATGATTTCAAATGCCATTTGCAAATCAGACACATTGAACTGTGTAAAACCACCTTGCACCCTCTCCTCCACCATTATCACGTATTATGCACAAAACAAAAGAGTCTCAAAAGCCCGCTTATTACCGATGTAAAATTATTCATTGTAATTTGCTCTTCTCCCTCACAAGAAAGCAGAGATGTAGCTCTTGAGCTTTTGTCTCGGAGTGTTTGATTTAAAAGTATTGAAAGTAAACGCAAGGAGGTATTTATCACGATTCCCTTGTGTCAGGGGGCGGGAGAATTGGAGGGGTTAATATTTATGAAATAGCATATGGATTAATCTGACCACGGCTATGAATATTCGATTAGGCCACGGCTCACACAAATGTCACAGCTTCGCATTGGTCGACAGCGTACGCTGATATATGAACTATTCCCCAGCTTTACTTTGCTGTGTTTGGACCCATACTGTCATCAAACACGCCTCCGGTTCGCTCGCTACAGACTGTCACGTTTGTGATATAGAGATGAGATCTGTTCCTCCGCCATGAGGAAGTGCACAATCTTTAAGCTTTGAGGAGCCAAGCTAGCAAAGCTCATCTGAATTCTGCTAGCGGAGCCAATCTTTCTGAGTGTGAAAGACCGGAGACGGGGGCACCTTCCAAAGAGCTGGAATCATTTCAATGGGAAACGCTGCTTTCCTCAGGGATTGGCTCTGGGCCCTGACTAAATGTATTTGAAAAACAAATACATACAGTAAAGGATAAAATGAGGCTACATATAACTGCATTACTGTAATGCTGACATAAAGATATTGGAAGGTTGTTTTTTTTGTCTTTGTTGTTGTCTTCTTTCTAAAGAACTACAGAATTGCTGATTTTCATAATATAAAATATGATGCACTGTGCCAAAAACTGACAGTACCAAACGCACAGTACTATAAAATATGCCATGTAAAGGCAATACTGATGGCAGAAGTGGAGGCGTACGTAAAGTTTTGGTGTTGAGCTTATTTTCTTCTGCTTAAAGGGTTACTCCACCCCAAAATGAAAATTTTGTCATTAATCACTTACCCCCATGTTGTTCCAAACCCGTAAAAGCTTTGTTCGTCTTCGGAACACAATTTAAGATAGTTTGGATGAAAACCGGGAGGCTTGTGACTGTCCCATTGAAGTAAATAACACTGTCAAGGCTCAGAAAAGTATGAAAAGCATCGTCAGAATAGTCCATCTGCCATCAGTGGTTCAACCGTAACGTTATGAAGCGACGAGAATACTTTTTGTACGCAAAGAAAACAAAAATAACGATTTTATTCAACAATTCGTCTCCTCCGCGTCACCGTAGCGCCGTTTTGGAGAGTATCCACTGAACGCAAACTGCGTATGCTGTTCTGTGTCAGCCGCACCACACGGATACGCTGTTTTCGTTCAAATCAAAGCATAAATAAACATAGAAAACGTATCCGTGTGGTGCGGCTGACACAGACAAGTAGAACAGTATACGCAGTTTACGTTCATTGGATAATCTCCAAAATGGCGCTACGGTGACGCGGAGGAGACGAATCGTTGAATAAAGTCGTTATTTTTGTTTTCTTTGCGTACAAAAAGTATTCTCGCCATTTCATAAAATTCACATTGAACCACTGATGGCAGATGGACTATTTTGACGATGTCTTTCATACTTTTCTGGGCCTTGACAGTGTTATTTACTTCAATGGGACAGTCACAAGCTTCCCGGTTTTCATCCAAAATATCTTAAATTGTGTTCCGAAGACGAACGAAGCTTTTACAGGTTTGGAACGACATGGGGGTAAGTGATTAATGACAAAATGTTCATTTTGGGGTGGAGTATCCCTTTAAAACATGTGGAAAATGCTATGTAAACCTACTTAACATAATCTTTTGCTGTATAGGTGTTTATACAGTGATTTAACGTAATGAAGTAAACTACTCGCATCTTGTATAAAAAAAAAAAGATGTCTATTGGACACGATGCAAAGTAAATCTGTCTTAATTCAGACAATTGGGGTTTTTGTTCCTTTCCTATTGGACTAATTGCAATTTGGATGTAAATATGGTCCTTCGCTGTATGCCAATTTGATTCTCAGTGATGAGCTCCCAGCAACCATTTTATATTTTATGGCATTTGTTGAAAAGAAATATTGAATGCAGTAACCCAGAAATCACAGTTTTCTGTGTGGAGCTGAGTTACACAACAGAAACATTGTCCAGGTAAAGCACTATGTGCTGTTATGCTGCTGCTTTGCTTAAGAACTGCTTCTGTAGGCGAAACGGTCCTTAAACTTCAGCACATAACTCTTCCCATACCATTTGTGCAACAGAAGTGAACTAAATGCATTAGTGCCTGTCCACTTTTTCAGCAGCATTGGTTCCAAATTATAATTTTTTTCGTTCATTTTTCTCATAGAAATTTTAAAAGAGTTATCTTTAAAGCGTTATAAGCCATGAACAAAGCCACATGAATCACATAATTGTTTTTATTTAAAGCTAAAAAAGGAAAAGTTACAAGACTGTCTACTTAAGGGATAAAATGGATAGTTCACCCAAATATCATTTACTCGCCCTCATGTTGTTCCAACCCTGTATGGCTTCAAGAACGTACAGTATGTTGGTAACCAAACAGTTGATGGTAGCCAGTGACTTGCATAGTACAGTGAAAAAATACTATTGAAGTCAATGGCTACTGTCAACTGTCCGGTCACCAACATTCTTCAAAATATATTTTGTGTTCAACAGAAGAGAAAAGCTCATACATGTCTGGAACAACATGAGGATGAGTCGGTGATGATCATGCCAACTTTCATTGCAGCTCTCTGATTGGTGGAATTGTCTGTATGCATCATGGGTAATGTAGGTTTCATCATGAATTCAGCTTTAAAACACGAAAAGGCTCCAGACAGCTGCAAAACAAAGCACTATACCATCAATTAAGAACCTCAGAACTTAGAAGTTATTTAAAATCAGTTTCCCTGTGGAGAAAATGGAGTGTTTACTCCTGAAACCCAATTGTTGCAGCCTAAATCACACAGCTTGTTTCATCTCGTGAATTTTTCATGGCTGACAATATAACAAATGGAAAAAGTCCTTTAGGCTTGAAATGAAAAGGGGCTCGATGAGAATATCATATAGACTTGGGGGTGGGCATTCGACTTGGATCAGTAAGCAACCACCTAGCAACTGCCCAAAAACCCGAGCAACCGCATAACAATGAGCTGAAAACCCACTCAACACCTTATCAACCATATAACGGTGTCCTGGCAAGCTCCCACAACACCCAGCGAGATCTGCTTTCTGCAGAAGATGTAAAAATGTAGGTTTTATATCTACAGCTCTTCACATGCTTTCTACAATGCTAATTAAAGTCTGTTTGTGTAGCCAAGAACCCAAGAGGTAGAAAAGATGCATCAAGGGCACTGAAATCGCTTCTCTGATGACAAGTACAGACTGTGCTATTGCTTCCTTTACAGCAGCGGTTCTCAGTTCTCAATTCCAGTCCTCGCGTACCTCCGCTCTGCATGTTTTGCATGTCTCTCTTTGTTAACACACCTGATTCAGATCATCATCTCGTTAGAAGTGAGCTCCGTGCATGAACTGTGTTCCGATTGACATGGTCCCTACACAGTGTCCATTGCTCCCTACTCCCTAAGCAGGGGAAATCCGTTGAAGTTTACTTCACTTCAGAATATTCATTTACAGATTTGCGTCTTCACACACATACGAAACTTACTAGAGAAGCGTGAAGTGGGACATAATATACCTCTGTAAATAAATACAATTTAAATTCACGTCTCGCACACTTAAATGCCCTTTGTATGGAAAATATACGCTCCCTTCAAACTGGAATCATGGCGGAATATCCGGTAATGTCCACTTCGCAGGGCACTTACAGTCAAATATAACAAATGTCTGAAGCAATAAGAGAAACATACAAAATGTGCAGAGCGGGGGTACGCGAGGACAGGAATTGAGAACCGCTGCTTTACAGTATCTCCCGTTTCCTCTCTACCTCTCAGACAGGAAAGTCAGTTTCTTTGGAAATGTGCAATTTCACCTATGGCAGGCTGCAAAATTCATGAGAAAATCAAGCCGCAATCTGCCTTAAATTCATCTGTGACAAAACCTAATCAGAAAGCGCGGCAGGCTCTCCAGTTCTGAAGAGGATGAAAATGATTTTTTCTCCAGTGTCACCATTCATAGAGGCTGTGGACGGATCTCCATGAATTTATAGTGACCGTGTCTTTTCTTAACATATCTTGAAATGTCACTGTGTAGCTCATGTTCACTTGGACTGAAAATACACATGAAGCACATTTCTCTTTGACACCGATAACAAACTCTGCGAGGCATTACAGATTTAAAGCTCTGTTGTATAATAGAGGAGTATATCGGTATGTCGGGTAGATGTAGCCATAATCACTGAATAATTTCACATATGTATTGGAAAATTACACAAAATATTAGTAAATTAAAGGCTTAAAGGCAGCTTTATTGAAGTCTTTTTGATCTTACTCATTGGATGTTTCTTTGCTTCATCAAAATTAATGATTTTAAGAATTATTTATGTGCATTTTATTTAAAAAAAATGATGTTTTCCAATAATACTACGTGAGTTGTTTTCCATGTACTGAACTTCTTTAGCATAAGAGAAAAACAACATATTTCACTTTCTTTGCACTTTTCATTTAGAAAGGAACTGAACTGACCTGCATTACAGGACATATGCTGTGTTTTCTGTGCAGGAATCTTCTGTTCAGTTTAGACAGTTGCCAAAACATATTATTTGAAAGCAATCTCATTTTACAGTAACATATTCTAGTGCTGTACATTCACACCGCAGCTGAATGTAGCCCAAATCTGTCCCCGAGCTCTCATGTGAGAAAAATTGCATTGAATCTGACATTTTCAGTTCCGATCTGGGCCACTTTTTTATATGTGGAAAAAAATAGGACACTCATTAAAATGTTGACTGTAAACATTCAGGTAAGAATTCATATGGATTTTTTTGTCAGTTGAATTCTACATTTGTCATAGTAATAATAATAATAAAAATGTTCTTGATTTACAGTGAAGAAGACAGTGAAAATGGCAAGTGCTCTTATTTAACAGTGTTTGATATGGACAGCAAGTTTGTATGAACAATTTCATGAAGTTGTACTTAAGCAGAAAATTGGAATGGGACACTTTGGTTCACAGTATGAATGCAGCCAGACTGTGTACAGTTACACTTCGAGTGTGGCTTTCCAATATCTCATTACTCCACTGCAATATGAGCTGTTTCCTTGTGATTTTTGTGTAATATAGTACTTTTGTTAAGGTGTAGAGCATGAATAAGGCACTAGACTGCTTTGAGATGGGACCAGATATAGATGTGGTCTGGCATACTTGCATGTCTAAGTGTTCACCCAATGAAAATGGAGTCAAAACAGAGGCTTATTTCATATGCCCTCTGACCAAAGCTGTGGGGAAACTGAAAATGAGACGTAACCCTGCACACGACTCCTTGAGACCTGAAACTCAAGTGATGAGTTAGGAGCATAAATCTTCCTTGCAGCAGTTTTACGTGACAAACGCAGGTGCCCTCCTGTCTCCTGTCTGGAAAAACAAACATATAAAACTTTATTTATTAGCATCATTCTGGATAAGTGACCTAAAACATATCCAAAAAAAGTGTTTGTTGTAAGATTTACTTTGAAACAATTTTTACTCAGAAATACCAGTAAATTTTACAAATAATAAACAATAGAATAAACACAAATGACAATTAACACATTGTATATGTGTGTGTGCGTGTGTGTGTGTGTGTGTGTGTGTGTGTATATATATATATACACACAGACAGACACGCTGCCGGTCTTTCGCGCATGAACAGCAGTCAGTGCCTTCTGTTCGACCCGCTTCGAAGCTTTGAACACTGACGGATCTAAACCTAACCATCATTCCCTTCCAAACACAGGAGAGCAGCGGCGACGTTTGGATACACGCACCGCACAAGCACGGGGATGTGGATCATAAAGTTGGTGTTGATTTGGACCTGCTGGATCGGAGTGAGCGCGGACTTCGATCGCAGGTGAGACCTCAGTTAAACGTCTGGTGGACGATTGAATCAATGTGTTTTGGTAGCGTAAACACATTTTAGTTTGGTTTAATAAGAGTAATTGTCTTTTTTAAAGATGGCTTTAAAGTAAACTACTTTAAGATTTTAAACATCCTGTCAGATAAGGAATCTCTTTAAGTGTTAAGTTGCATTGTATCATCTCAAGCTAAATGTAAAAATATTCATATGTGCTGGGCTATAGAGGTGTGCGTTTAAAAGTAACAGGGTTGACCGTTTTAGAGTTAATATATTAAGATCATCCCTTGACAAGCCTCACAGATAATGTGATACAAATCAAGGAGACACTTGTGCTTGAAGACTTCACATTCTGAAAGTATAATGATGCTATTATGACAGCACTTTTTATCAATTTAAAAAAAAATCTTTTAATCAGAGTAACAGGGTTGATGGATAACAAATCTAAAATATCCATATAGGCATCCTCATGAAGGAAAGTTTTTCCATTTTTAAGGTCATTGTTAACACAAATGCTCAATATTTGTTTCTACAAAAGTCACACTTTTCATGAAATCAGCATTAAGTATTACTGCAATGCTTTTGAAAGCATAAGGTAAACCACAGACGCCTCAAGTTTAGTGCTGTTGTGATCAATTAAATTTAGGACGGGTTTAAAGTTTGTGTTGTTTCTGTGTTGTCAATCAAACAGCGAACTTGTGAACTTACATCCCTCTAAAGCTGCTCTTAAAGATCTGCACACATGCAAAATCCCGGCATTCATTCTTTAACTTATCAGTAGTTTTGAATACATAAAAAGACAGCAGTTTGTAAAACATGCGTGTTTAAGAATCATTTATTCTCCCTCTTGGACAGTCAGTGCACGCTTTCCCGGTTGTTTCGTGCCCCAACATGTAATGTGAAATATGTGGTGAACAGAAACGTGCCAAAGATTCAAATCTGCTTAAGGCTTAATTGATTTTAAAGAGGATCGTATATCCATGCTCAA